CTGTGGCAACGTTGTTGCCGTAAGCGTTGTAGGCTTTTTGTGTTGGTGTTGTTGTTCATGTCCCAAGCAGACATCATAATCTTCATATGATTATGAGCTATAGTCTAAACTCCTAGTATCCCCCTTAATATCCCCTATAATAGTCCCCTATAAAATCCCTATGTAACCCCCTTTAAGGAGGAGAGACTGTAGCTAATCCCTAAACCCTAAACCCTAATATGCAAGAGGAGATGGTCAACACGCTTTGGGCCTTCGCTGTGCTGGGAGCGAGATTCTGAGAGCGGACGGCGAGTTGCTGGGCTCAAGCCGAGGTCGCTGGGGCTCGGATTCAGGGTTTAGGGTTCAGGGTTAAGGGTTTAGATTTAAGGGTTTAGGGTTTAGGTGTAAGGGTTAGGGTTGAAGGCGTGGAGTTGCGCATGGTCTCCTCCGTTTGGTTGGCAGGGATATATGTTGATTGAAGAAGTGAGGTTCTGCTTTGTGCAGTTTAAGTCTCAGGAGTAACAGTAGTACGGGCACCCATGAGCTTGCTCGTCATCCCCTCCCGTAACAGTTACACCCCTACCGCTCATGTTACCTTTTCCCAATACAGTGTGGTGTATGATGGTGTAATCGTTTGTTTTTTGATTTGGCAGGTCAGGGGAGGGGGGCTATGTTACTAGGGGAGGGGAAGACATTTACCACGGCATGCAGCCTGCAGCTGCTGTAAGTTAGGTGGACCCCCCACCCAGCAATAGTGACTATAGGGAATAATAGGGATTATATGAGGGTCCTCCTTATATTCCTATTATACCATTATCACGGGGTGGGGGGTCCTCCTAAGCTATACGCAAGATGTCAGTTGCTATGCGCGATGAAGATGCCAATGGTGGTGATGATCATGAGGACCTTCGTACAGGGACCTCGGAGCCTTGGAAGCCCCGGGTTTAGGGTGTAGGGGCTTAGGGTTTAGGGTTTAAGGTTCCCCTCAAAAAATCCAGAGAATGGACATGCACTTCTGATGCCATTTGCCCAGCTTCTGCCCCCCTTGTGGACCCTGCCCTGGTCATCTAAAGTAGTAGAGCATGCAACCAAGCTGAACATTCTACACCTTTGTGGCATTGGCGGTATAATGACGGTTGGTTCTGTGGCTCCAAGTAGCCAGAAGCATAGGCCTTTATAGACTTAAGGCCTCGGGCCCCGAATTCTCCATTCTCCAAAACAAGGTGTTGGCACAGGTGTTCACTTCTGCTGCCCGTTGCCCAGTTTGTGCCCAAGCGGACTCAAAGGTCGCGATTGCCCCTCATCCCTCCCCCTGTATTATTTACGTCTCTGTGCCGGCGATGGAGACCCTTGGTCCATTTAGAATCGCAAGTAGCTGTGTGGTCCGATTCACGAAAGGATTCTTTAGATACCATCAATCAAACATAGTTTCATCGGCATTGATTGTGGAGATTGTTTGGGGCTGAGGTTTCTAACCTATATTGTTGGAACACCTCCTCATGCGCGCGTCGTTTGGATTGCGAGTTCTGATGGAAACAATATATACATATGTGTATATATATATATACACATACATATATATATATATATCAGGGCTTGCAATAATATTCTAAACTTTGAACCCCCAAGCCCAAACCTTAGATCCTGAACCCTATAGTCGACTGTCTAGCAGCTAGCATGGTAATGATCCCTGGAAGCAACCTAAACTCTGAGTCGAAGCTCTAGACCCTAAACTCCCAGCCTTAAACTCTAAACACTAAGCCCTAAACCCTAAATCCTAAACCCTAAACCCCCTAAACCCTAAGCCCCAGATGAAGGAGAGTCCTGGCCTTGTTGGCCCTTGCCATCTACGGTGTGGTTGGCATCCTGGCATCGGACCCGATGGATGCGGTGTCAGATGGCGATACGGGCGACACTGCCTGTCTTTTGAATATGCGACTTACCCTCAACGTTTAGGGCTTAGGGGTTTTGGGGGTTTAGGGTTTAGGGTTATGAATATGCGACTTACCGACGCGGGTTTGTTGGTTTAGGGCTTAGGGCTTTGGATATGCGACTTAACCTCAATGTTTAGGGTTTATGGGTTCAGGGTTTAGGGCTTAGGTTTTTGAATATGCAACTTACCTTCAACCCTATACCCTAAACCCTAAACCCTGCACGATTTGGGCTCTAGGGCTTAGGGTAGGAAATGAGGAATGGGTAAGAGGAGCTGTTCTGGAGCCCCCGAATTGCAGGGTCAGTTACAGGGGTGAATTAATCCATTCCCTTCTAGCACCATCAAGGAGATCTGATTGGAGGAACGCCAATCAACTGTATGGCACGGCAGGGAATTACGATGCGATCCAGGCGTTCTACGATTCGTATGAAGAGGTATCAGCCTTCAATACACAGATGGATGCCATAAAAGAAGCGACTTGATGGCATACTAATTAGCCGCGCCAGGCTATACAACTGGGGCAATTTCAAAAATACATGGTTCACGTAGTTGAACAACCCTCAGGGTCCAGGTACTTGAAATCTAGGGGCTGAGACAGTGGAAGAAATTGAAACTACGGAATATTGGGCCTTAAACCGCATTGCTTGTACGCTTGGACCGTTTTGGTATGTTGAAAGGGTTTAGGATTCAGGGTTTAGGGTTTACCTGAACTCCAAAAGTATGCAAAATAATGGTTTTTATGGCTATTCTTAAGGGTTTCGGGCTACTATTTTTCATACTTCTGGGGTTTAGGTAGGACTGAGGGTTTAAGGTTTAGGATTCAGGTGGCCTCGACTGTACTCTCGCAGATTCCAGTGGTTGGTGACTTGTGCAGCTTGCTTCTCAACATCTTCTGGCCAAGTCCCAGAAACTGGGTTGCTATTAAGGAGCGTAAATTAGGTACCAGAATATATGGGCATACTGTAAAGAATAGGGTTTCCTTGTTATAGGAACTTGGTGTAGGTTCCTTAACAGCAACCCAGGAAATGCCTTTAAAGGCCTAATCGAGGCTATTCAACAGTGGACGCGGAGGCCCAACGGGAGGGTCCAGGGACTCGGTACAGGGTTTGGGGCTACCCTGAAGCCCTGAACCTTAAACACTACCTGAACCCCAAAACTATGTAGAATAATAGCCTTTTGGGCTATATTTAGGTGTTTTGGGCTATTATTTTACCTACTTTTGGGGTCCAGGTAGACCCTAAGCAGACTCAGTTTTCGTGGCCTGATAGGTATGTCGGCTACAAAATCGCGGAGGCCATCAAGGACAGTCTGCGCGCTTATCTCAAAACAGCCCAGACCCTTTTTGCAGCCTACGAGCGGCGTTGCGACGACGTCAAGCGCAGGTTCGCCGCCCGTGACTATACCTGGAAGGCTACACTGAACGATGCTGTGGTGCAATCACTGAACAGTGCTAATACCCAGGCACTGAGTCTGATGGATCATGCGTCAATGCACGCAACGTACAGGGGCCAGCTGATTCCGTACTATCTCATGGGCGCGAACATGAACCTGGGTTGCTGTTACGGAACTGAACTATAATAAGGGAACCCCATTACTTCCTATATACCCATTTTATGGTAACTTAGCTTAAATTCCTAAACCCCTACACCCTAAACCCCAGGAACTTGCTGGGCCTCCGGGAGATGTATCAGGCCTCAGTCTTCTGGAAGGAGCAGACAGGTCAGGATGCACCGTTTGGTTCTCCCGATTATTTGAAGGAGACCCTGAGCCACCAGTACGAAGCTGGGTTGCTGTTCAGGTTTAGGGGTTCAGGGTTTTCAGTTTAGAGTTGAGGTTCGGTTGCAATAATATGGTGGTTTCCCATAGTTTGGGGGTATAAACTTGGGACTTTCCATGATGAGGATGATAGTAACACGGGGTCTATATTGGGGTCCCCGTGTTTGCGAAAACTACCATATGTACGATACGTAGAGTGCTTACTCGGGCTGCCGTATTTAAAGGGACTTTACTGGGAAGCCCAAACAGGGAACCCCAAGAAGATAGTAGGAACATACTGGAATATAAGGACCCTGGTAGGCATATTCCTATTATATTCCTACTATATTCTTGGGGTTCCCTGTTTGGGGTTCCCATTTCAACCCGTTTATCCTTAACACTCAGCCCCCAGATTTCCCGAAAATCCTTCACCCGGAGCCCCGAGCCGCA